GAAAGACATTTTGAGAAAAAGGAGGAAGCCCTTGCTAACGAACAGCTGTCTAACAATGGCAGAGGGGAGGCTGAGGAGAGCGGGGTTTCCGGGGATAGGGGTGGGTTGAGCAAAGGTTGGATGTGATAGAGGAGGTGAGGCTGGGGGAGCCGCTGTGGCTTTGATGAATCTGTAAAATGTTTCTTTCAGGCTGGAGAGAAGATGACCTTGGGATTTTTAAGCCCCTCAATATTCCCCGCCCCGTTCAGCCAGGGGTGTGCTCTCTGGGGGTGCAGCCCCTCACTTGAGCAGAGTGTTCCAGCAATTCTGGGCAAGCTCTCAGGGTGAAGGGAAAACTTAGAAGGGGCCCAGGCACCTCCAGAGGGTCCTCAGTAGCCCCCGCCCCCCAAGGGTGCATCCAGCTGCTGCAGCTCGATACCTTACCTCCAACCGTCTTTGGTCTTCTCTCAAGGAATCCCAGGAGGGCAGGTCCTGGGGCCGGGCCAGGGGAAGGAGATGCCTGGGTATCAGCCCACTCTGCTGAGTCCAGTGCAGTTGTGGTCATTCCCCCACAGGAGAACAGGATGTTGTGATAAAAGGCCTCTGAGCCCGGCTGGTGTGGTTCAGTGGGTTGGGCATCATCCCATGCACCAGGAAGTAGCCTGGTTTGAGTCCGCGGTCAGGGCACATGCCGAGATTTCAGGCTTAGTAGGGGGCGTGCAGGAGGCAGCTGGTTCACGTTACTCTTTCATCGATGTTTCTATCGCTCTCTCCCTCTCCCTTCCTCTCTCTGAAATCAATACAAACATATTTAAAAAAAGACCTCTGACTGGGTGCTGAGTAACAGCCACCAAACCTGGTGCCCCTGCCCACAGGGGCCAGAGCCTGGAGGGCTGGGGAGGTCCCAGGTTTCTGGGCACAGAGAAGTCAAACCCCTCAGCCCAGCCTCTTGGGCAGCTTGGCCAGGCCAGTCGTGAAAGAGATGGCTGTGTACCCTGGACATTCCCTGCCCCGTCGCCAGGTGCTGAGGCCTTCTGGATGGTAGCCGAGGACCGTGACGGGGACCCTCTGACCTATGGGATTAGTGGCAGCAACGCCTACTTCTTCAAGGTCACCCCAGCCACTGGGGAAGTGAGGCTGGCCAGCTCTCTGGACTACGAGGTAAAGGGCAGTGGTCTGAAAGGCGTGCCGGGGCAGGGAGACCAGGAGGGCCCGGGAGCCAGGGCCCGGGGATGGGTGCCCTAGCTGTGCTCTCTCCCCAAGTCGGGGCTTACCTTGGTCCCCTTCTCTCCTCCCGCTGCAGACACTCTTCTGGTTCGCAGTTAACATCTCCGTGAGCGATGGTCACAACAACCCAGTGAGTTGGCATGGGGTGTGGAGGGGCGGGAGGCCCAGGGGTCAGAGGTCAGGGGCTGGGGCACACTCCTGACTGTGCCGCCTGCCTCAGATAAGCAGAGAGAACCCCAGTTAACAAAAAAGAAGCGAATATTTATTTTTATCAAAATTATATTTGTCCACTTTTTGTTATACAATTTTACAAAGATCTTAAGATATATTATTCATTTATTTTAATTCTATAAAACATTGCTCATATTACAAATAGAACTAATTATATTACTAATTAATGTGCATAGTAATAAAAAAAAAGCCAAGTATCTCCCTACCCAACGCCTCTGAGATGATCACTTTCGATTTATTTGGCTAAATATGGTGGTATCAATGCTCATATTTCTAAGTATCATAGTGTCTTGTGTCTGTGAAAGTTGAGGGTTTTGTTTTTAAAACATATTTCCCGTTTAAAAAAAAACAATTTCAACGACTTGGGTATTTGTGAACATATTCTCTTTGTAAACATTTTAAAAACTGCAGATAAAGGTCAGGTCCCCTCAGGCAACTCTCCCAGCCCATCCCCACCTGAAGTGGCCACCTGTGTTCTTTCCTATCCCCCCTAAGTGTTCTCGTACACATGTTCATCCACAGAAGAAAGGTTGTGGGTTTTAAAAAATATATTTTTATTGATTTCAGAGAGGCAGGGAGAAGGAGAGAGAGATAGAAACACCAATGATGAGAGGGAATCATTGATCGGCTACCTCCTGCACAGCCCCCAGTGGGGATCGAGCCCGCAACCCAGGCATGTGCCCTGACCCAGAATCGAACTGTGACCTCTGGGTTCATAGGTCGACACTCAACCACTGAGCCACTGCAGCTGGGCAGAAGGTTGTAGTTTCTTGTGCATTTTCTGAAACCCATGTGGGATCCTACGGTACATATTGTCTTGAACTGCCCTGTCCACTCAGCTATCAGCTTTGGAGTTCATTCCATGTCTGTGCTCGAGTCCTTGTCTCTTTACTGTCTCTGTTCCAGCCTGGGGACCACACATGCTGCTTGAGCTGGTCTGTTCTGTGGACACTTAGGTTGTGCCCACAGCTTTAACCCCTAGAGTGCCGGGGAGCACGATTGCGCTCCTCCTGTCTTTCGCCAAAAGTGCCGGGAGTGCTATCAAAGCTTTGAAATGGCGTCCAGTTCTAAGTCTGCTTTTATTAGTGATGATGATATTGCTTAATATGTCAATGTAGTAAAGGTTTCCTTAAGTTTATGAATATGTAACTTCATTTACTTGTGATTCATAATTTTTTTCCTAAACTGCTGTAAAATCAGCAAAAATGCATTGGCAATTTCAGCATAGTTCCTAGGATATTGGTTGGCACTCAAAGGGTTAAACAAAGCTAATGTGAACATTCTTGTAATAGGACAGGCACATTTTAGATGTTTAAAAAGTGACCTAATGATGCCTGCAGTCTATATTCAAATGGCTCTATAAACGTGGAGAAAGAAACCAAACAGCAGGCAAGCCTGGATGAAGTGTATGGGGAGTTCTTTGTACTATACTTGCAACTTTTCTGGCGTTTGAAATTGTATCAAATAAAAGGTTACCCCCAACATTGCCTAATTGTCTACCTGAGAAACTATGTCAACTTGCTCTCTTGCCCAGATGCTCCTCGCTCTGCTTTCTCAGGAGCCCACATTTTCCAGGCTTACCTGGGCTTTCTCCCCACAGGTGCTGAAGGAATTTCAGGTGATCGTGGAGGACAGAAATGACAATGCACCTGTTTTCCAGAACACCGATTTCTCCACAAACATCAGCGAGGT